TTACCAGAATATGGAAAGTTTTGTGACAGGTTTCGAGTTGTTTTTGGTAATCAAGCTTATCATTATATTAAGTTTGGATTTCTAGACATTCAAAATTGTCTCAGCCATTTGTTTCTTCTAGATGATGAGATGACTCTCGAAGACAAGAAAACTGTATGAAGTTTGCAATAATTTAAAATACAAAATTTCATTGTTATACGTGATGTTTATAAAATGTGTTTTACTGTTTTTCTTTAATTTTTAGTTAGTATATTTCCTTTAAACCATCTAATTTCTAACATATTATGTTGTTGATCTTTTATATTTGTCAATAGTCCCTTGTCGTCCATAGAAAATACTGTAATTAACTCGTAATAATTATATGTGGTAAGAATGAAACTTTTCTTATCTTTCGTCTCTTTGTCTTTTTCTTGATATCAATATTTATCTCTGCAAATGTTTTTTGAGAATATATATATATTAAAAAGCTAGCTTTAACAATGTATTTCCACCACACTTAAAAACAAATTACAATTGTAAAAGACACGGTAAATGTTTTTGTAAATAATAAAAACTGTACAATGATAGTTGTCTTTTGAATCATCATTGAGTGGAAAACAATAATAGTTTTTCATTGAATTGTTATTAAAATGATGTTTTCCATTGAATTGTTAATAAAAACAGTACAATGATGGTTGTCTTTTGAATCATCATTGAGTGGAAAACAATAATAGTTTTTCATTGAATTGTTATTAAAATGATGTTTTTAACAATTATTTGGGAAAAGATGAACATCTTATGATTTTAATTAATTGTTAAAAAATAACTAAGTGTAAAACAAAAGTATGTTTCGTCCGATTGATAATATTTAATCTCCACAACAAATAATAAAAGAAGCATAAATGATATAACACTATACTGTCTTAATTTTTGTACAATAGAACATTCTCATCAGATGATAAAATACATAGAAGTAAATAACATCGTATAACAGAGAAAATATATTAATACGTATTCTATGCATTGTAGAGAAAGTTTTTCACTTTCATTTGTCAAAAATATTTGTTGGCTAAAAAACAATATATCATAAGATTTCTCTAGTAAAGAGATAAAAGATGTTTTTTTTTCCACCAAATTCCTGAATAAAAAATTATCTAACTATGGAATAACTATCAATATAAATTGTATTTTAAGATTAAACAAAAAAATGTACACTCTCCAATAAAATAATAAAAATAAATACATTAAGCTATTGAAATATTGTTAAAATAAGGTAAGAACATTTATTTTTGTATGGAGTGCATTATCACAATCAAGCTCCTCAAGAAAAAAAACATTTTAAAAGTTAATGTTACTCAATAATTAGTGTTTCGAGTATGGGTTGAGAATCATAATTAATACTCTTTTATATTTTTTTGTCAATCATTTAATATCTTCTCAAGTCTGCATTATAAAGTCAACCTCAATCCTTCCTCTTCAATCTCCTAAATCAGTGGTGAATACTTACTAAAGGTACTCCAATCCTTAAGTTAGTTATATATGTCTAATTGTTTAATACAGTAAAATCTCAAATTTCTAATAAATACAATCATTTATCAACTTATATTATTTATGTATTTATAGGTTTCGAGATGAACTTTTAATTAGAACTGATCTAATCATGACCCAAAGGTCAATAAATATGTTTTACCTATAAATGTATTGGATTTGTATTATTGGTGTTTAAAAATGATTACACCCATCGACTTACCAATAAACCGTCGGGTTTACGTAAACTTAAAGTTAAGAACGTTCTTTCAATATTTTTAAAAACATTGACCAAACAGTGACATTAACTTACCTTCTTCAATTCTATATAAAGAAAATAAAAAAAAATAACAAAGAGACCATGTTACGTAATGTTAATAGATAATAACTATTTTGACCATTTAAATATTCAAATTTATTTATTCTAGATGATTCTTTAAATTATATTTGTAAACAATAAAACAAATTAATTTGATATTATTAAAATACACATAAAAAAGTATGTGAAAAATATAATATAAAAAATTACATTAAAAAACTAATGAGTTTAAGCAAAATATCAATATATTGTGAAAATCATTAGTATACTTTTAAAACACATAATATATACCCATAAATAAATTTGAATATTGTATTATCATATAAATAAGCTATACACCTACTAGTTTATAAAAAGGTTAAATATGTTTTTCGTCCTTAAGTATCACACGATTTTGGTTTTAGTCCCTACTCGAAACTTTGATGGTTTTTAGTCTTCGTAGTTTTGAAACTATTAGTATTAGTTCTTAAAGATGGACGGCGTTAAGTTTTAGTAGATGTGGCAAACGACGATGCCAGATTTGAGGCCAGTTGTGCTCTGCACTCTCTGCCACGTTAGTTTTCTTTTCATTGATGAGAATAAGTGGCACGAGTTTTTGATTCAAATCAGATTAAGAATTAGGGTTGTTAATTGGGTTCTTAATTAAGGAAGAAGAGCTTGTTGCCATTGTTGAAGAAGAGGAGGAGCTGAAGACAATGAAAGACCACATCGACCCTAACTCATCACAAGCGAAGTAGCAAAAAACGCGTGACTTCAAGGACCTCGTGGGAAGCTTCTTCTTCGCGGCTTCGGTTTTCAGCAAGAAATTGCAGAAGTGGCAGCAGAAGCAGAAAGCGAAGAAGCAGAGGAACGGTGCTCTTCTAGTGGAGAAGCTGATCGGGCGGCAGTTCTAGGACACGCAGTCGGAGATCGCCGACTACGGCTTGGGCGGCGGTCTTGCGACACCGATCCAAGGTTTTCGCTGGACGCAGGGCGGTTCTCCCTAGACGCGGGGCAATTCTCGCTTGACGCTGGGAGGATGTCATTCGACGACCCTCGGTACTCACTGGAGGAGCCATGGGCATCGTGGGACGGTTATTTGCTCGGACGGAACAATTTTCCGAGGATGTCGACAATGCTGTCAGTGGTGGAAGACGCGCTGGTGCAACATGTGATGAGGACTCATACGCAGATTCCTGTGGAGGAGGAGCCGGTGACTGACGATGAGGGCGTTCCTGGTGGGAATGCACAGACTAAAGAGTACTACTCTGGTTCGAGTTCTAGGAGGAGGAAGAGTATTGATAGGTCTAATTCGGTTAGGAAAAGTGTTAGTTTGGAGGTGGACGAGTTGACTAACAATGGAAGCGGTGGTGCGAACGAGAATGAGAATTTGAATGTGAATGTGAATGTGAATGCTAAGATGGCTCCTTCTAGAGTGGATTATGTGGAGGGTATGAGAATGAGGTTTAATGAAAGGGAATTCGGGTCGAATTCAATGCGGGAATAAAAAGATTATGTGCTTGGTGGAGAAGTGCTTATTAATCTGATTTCAATCAACAACTCGTGTCACTTAATCTGATCAATAAAAAGAAAACTAACGTGGCAGAGAGTGCAGAGCGCAAAGCGCAGCTGACATCAAACTTGGCCTCGCCGTTTGCCACATCAACTAAAACTTAACGCCGTCCATTTTTAAGGACTAATACTAAGAGTTTCAAAACTACGAGGACTAAAAACCATCAAACTTTTGAATAGAGACTAAAACCAAAATCGTGTGATACTTAAGGGACGAAAAACACAATTAATCCTTTATCAAATGAAATACTGAAATATAAAAAATAATTATAAATTTGTAAGAGATGTAACATGATTCCCGTCTACCTTAGAAATAATATTTAATATTTTTTAATTAAAATTTTAATTATTTTTTAAAATACAATACAAAAAAGTTAAATTTTATTTTTTAAAAATATTTTTTACACTATATGTATATCAATTAAAAATAATTATTCATAAAATCAAAATAACAATAATAATGATTCTTACTAAACATACTAAATAACACACTTGACTAAAATTCATTTAGTCTCCTCATTCTAAAATCATTTAACACTAAGTCTATTTAAATAATATTCACATATTATAATTGACAATTTAGTATTATAATTATTATCAATAATGATTTATCCTATAAAAGTTAACTAATATTATTTAAAGAATACTCATTTTATAATAATGAAAACGTTCATAAATATTTTAAACTTTTTCAATTATTCCGAGAGTCCAGATGGATCTCCCTTTTTCAGCTACAAAAAATCTCGTTCAAGCTAACAAAGAGTTTTCAATCTCAATAATATGAATAATAATATGTAAAATAAATTATAAAAGAATATCAATAATATTATAAACATAATTCAAATATTTATCAATTTAATAAATTAATATAAAAAAACGTGCCAACATACGAATTTCAAGCTAGTTGAAAAAAAGGCGAGTTCGCAAAGAATTTTGAAAAATTAGGATACCAGCGTAATTAGAAACAGAACGTGAGTATTTAACCTTTTCCATTTCCAGTTTCTCTTCTTAGACTTTGTCCTTCCATACACAATCTTCTTCATTTTTTCTTTCAAATCAACACGCTTTATGAGTGTCTAACATGTGAACTGAGGACTCTCACACTCTTCAGATTCCACAAGTACTACAAGTTCGTGGAATCCACCAACAGATATAACGTGTGGGGTCTTGATGGATTAGCAGCAAGAGTAGTTTAGTAAATTCACTGTTACAATATATAACCATATATATTAACATTTTAAATTAAAAAATAGAAAAAAGTTAATAAAATATTATTTCATGAAATTATCATGTAGAAGTATTTTTTATTGAAAGTGTCAATGATCAGTCCACAAATCATCTCTATTTTTTTAAAGTGGTGATATATGGTAATATCTTTAAAAAAAATTGCATTAAAATCTAAAATAATAAAATTTTAGTTATATTTATTAATATTTAAAAAAATTGTTAAATGAGTATTTTTTTTGTTAGAAATGTCAAAAGAGATGTCAAAATCCCTCCCAGAACCTGCCCCAGCCATCGACCCCACCGCCGCCCTGTTCTAGATATGCGTGTGGGGTCTATACGACTCGACCAATATGACTCAGACAGTGATCTTTTTTTTCTTAAATTCACCACAAGGAGGCTATCTGTTTGTGATCGATGAAAGGTTGGATGAATACGATGCCCATGTTCAGCCAAATTCTGAGATGGATGAAAAAACCAAAGGTACTGAGACTACTATGTCTCGCTTCAACTGTTGTTGGACTGATCTGTTATGGACTCAGTTCGTTTCTAAACCATTTGCTCGGAAACTGGAGCTGCTGGAAGATGTTTCTTTATATTGTTTTCAGTTTCGTTGTTTGCCTTGCCGTATTGTTCGCACCGGCAAGGTCGAGCTCCACCTCTCTCCGGTTGGAAGCTCATTTGGCATTTTTGGTTCTAATGCTCACTTCTGTTAGTATTTTGAAGGTTGTGAAAGGAGTAGTTGATGTGGTAGAGAAAATGTAGAGATAGTAGAATGTAGAAGTAGTAGTTGAAAGAAGTGTTGTAGTTGTCTTTAGTTGTAGTAGATGTTAGCTCATACAAATGGTAGATGTTGGCTTCATACAAATGGTAGAGTTCATGGGTATTTATAGACCCATAGATTATTCTAGAACATACTAGCCACAACTTATGTGGAATGTTCTAGATTTTTACCTATGTAGAATATACTTGATTTTTCTTCCTATCTTAGGTTTTTCTAGAATATTCTAGAACTTGTATTACATTTCAATTCTTCTATTTAAGGAGCTTCTACATTCTTCTAGAATTTGCATTACACTTTAATACTCCTCCTTAATGCAAATTCGGTAACTCCAAGCATTGTGCGCAGTAGTTCAAATCTTGGTCTTGGTAATGCCTTCGTAAATATATATGCAATTTGGTCTTCTGTTGGACAGTACTCGAGTCGAATTTGTTTAGTTGTCTCTTCATCTCGAATGAAGTGATATTTAATGGCTATATGTTTTGTTCTTTGATGATGGACTGGATTTTTTGCTATTGCTATTGCCGATTTGTTATCGCAATAGATAATAGTCGGTCCATCTTGTGGTTCACCCATTTCTTCAAGTATTCTTCTTTAGCCATTTGCTTGACTTGTGGTTTCATCAGCGGCACATACTCTGGCTTCTGCTGTTATTGTGCCACAGTTGCTTGTTTCTTTATGCCCCAGAAAAATACCCAAATCCTAGTGAGAAAGCATATCCCTGACGTACTCTCATGTCGTCACTGATCCTGCCCAATCACTATCTGTGTGCCAATCATACTTTATGAATTTCATACCTTGTCGTGTCTCCACATGGACGAGTTTCCCTTTGGCCTCGAGACTCCACTGTGGTGTCCATTTCCTAGCCGAACTTTGACATTGACAATTTTATCAATGTCCTTTGAAGATGCTTTGATCTTTCCGCATGTGATTGCTGCATCCACTATCCAAGTACCAACTTCCTTCTCTACCAGAAGATTCTTGATTGGCGTAGAATAAGAGTTTCTCTTGATTATCTTCTTCCGCAAAGTTTGCTTGATACTTATTTTTATTACGACAATACTTTTCTACGTGACCAAATTTCTTGCAATAGTGGCATTGAGGTTTTCCATGATGCCAACAATCTTTTTCCAAGTGACTTGTCTTTTTACATATGCCACATGGAGGATATTTTTCTTGACGAGTCTTCGAGAAGCTTCTAGGATTTTCTTTATTTCTAGAAATTTCTTCTCTACTTTTATTTCCTTCATATTCTTTATTCTGAGACCGTAATTTTAGTTTTGATTGAAAGGCATTTTCAACCGAGTCTTCTTCATGCCTTTTCAATCTTTGTTCATAAGCTTCAAGAGAGCCCATTAGTTGTGTGACTGACAATGTAGCCAAATCTTTTGTTTGTTCAATCGCGGTTGCGATTGCATCATACTTTTGGGGAATAGAAATTAAAATTTTCTCAACGATCTTTTTGTCAAGAATATTTTCCCCATAGGCTCTCATCTGACTAACTATTTCTTTTATTCTAGAATAGTAGTCTTTAATGGTCTCAGATTCTTTCATTCTTAATAATTCAAACTCTCGTCTTAGAGAATGAAGTTTAATATTGCGTACCTCGTCACTTCCTTGAAACTCCTCTTGTATTGTATTCCAAGCTTGTTTTGCACTTGTGGCACCAATTATCCTTGGAAAAATTGTCTCATCAACTGCTTGTTGAAGAACAAATAAAGCCCTTGAATCCTTCTGCTTGTTTTCTTTCAACTCCTTCTTTTGAGCTGCAGTAAGAGTAGAGGTGTCTTCTGGAATATTGAATCCCTCTTCTATGATATCCCATAAATCTTGAGAGCGGAAGAATGTCTTCATTTTGACACTCCAAAAATCATAATTTTCTCCTTTGAAAATAGGTACTGGAATTGATGATGTTTGATTAGTAGTAGCCATGTGTTGAGAATATATTTGGAAGTAGTAGAATGAGTTATAGTTTTGTTTGAGGTAGTTGAAAAATTTTATCTACGCCCAGTAGATGACCGAACGTAGCTCTGGTACCACTGTTAGTATTTTGAAGGTTGTGAAAGGAGTAGTTGATGTGGTAGAGAAAATGTAGAGATAGTAGAATGTAGAAGTAGTAGTTGAAAGAAGTGTTGTAGTTGTCTTTAGTTGTAGTAGATGTTAGCTCATACAAATGGTAGATGTTGGCTTCATACAAATGGTAGAGTTCATGGGTATTTATAGACCCATAGATTATTCTAGAACATACTAGCCACAACTTATGTGGAATGTTCTAGATTTTTACCTATGTAGAATATTCTTGATTTTTCTTCCTATCTTAGGTTTTTCTAGAATATTCTATAACTTGTATTACATTTCAATTCTTCTATTTAAGGAGCTTCTACATTTTTCTAGAATTTGCATTACACTTTAATAGATAACGTGGTGAAGGGTAAACCTGATGCATACAGTCTCATCTCTTGTGCTGCTTTTGCTACCATGTCACTTAGCTTGTCAAATCTCAGTCAATTTGGATTCCAAATTGATCTACTCTATTTCTTCTGCGGAGCTCTAACAATACAACTCATGAAGATCAGATTGTGGTTAGTCATTGTTGGAGCAGGTTTCACTTATTCCCTCCTCCAGCTTCGTGACTATCCGAGTGACACACCAGAGGAGAATCTTCAGCCCGACGAAGAAAATCAACTCTTAATCATTGAAGTTGATGACACAGAGAGTGATGCACAACAAGCTAATTTTGATGTTGATAGTACTGTAGGTAGTTCACCAGAAGATGAGGATCTTATATTTCGAGACCATCTACTCACTCAAAGCGATTCACATCCGGAAGATGCTGGTCTTATCATTCAACAACAATTCATGAATTGTATAAAAGAGCTTGAGAAGGAGAATCAGAGGCTTTTTCCCATAGTTGGTAGCCACGTCGAAAACTACATTAAAGCCGTGTTTGACTCGAAAGAAGTATCAGATCCTAACGTCAACTTGGTGATGGATTTACTTCCATTGGGAATTATGAGGCGCCTTAAGGAAAACGTGAAGCTGATGGTGGATGCAGGTTTCATGGACGAATGCATCGACATTTACAGCAAATCGCGAAAAGCGTTTGTAGAACAGTGTCTACGGCCACTTGGGTTGCAATTTCAAACGCCCAACAAGGACGTTGAAAAGTGGTCAAAAACGTGGAAGGCTGTTGGGAAGATACTGTTTCCCAATGAAATGAGACTCTGCAGTTACATCTTTTCAGGGATACATGATGCTGCGGGTGTCTCCGCAGTCGAGAAAGTTTGCAAGAAAATTTCGACTGATCTACTGAGTTTTACCGATACCACCATAACAGCTGATAACTATTTGCCTAATCTTTTGTCTTACATCGTTCCTAAAGTGTCGGAGTCATTGGGCGAGCTGACACGAGAGTTAATCTCACCGACTTCGGTTCACGAATCGTCTATTGTTGATGACATTAAAGATGTTCGGCTAAGTTTGGGTATGCTAAACCAGTCGAGGGATAGTATTCACCCTAATAATGATGATATTAAAGACGTTCGGCAAAGATTGGCTATGGTAAACAAGATTGGGGGGAATATTCTTTACCCCAATAAGGAGAAGGCAGGTCTGATAGGTGGAGGGTTCCATTTAGTTACTGATTTGCTGAAGAAGAAGATACGGAAATTATAGTATTTGTTTTGGACATTTAATAATTACTATTGAATTGTATTTGTTTTTTTTTAAATCAAACTAATAAAATAAAGTTATTAGTGGAATGACTATTAATTATGGAATAATTACTTAGAATTTATTTTTATGTATTTATTTTTGTATTTAGACTAATGAAGTTGAACTTATTTTTAAAAAATTAATTAATCCTTTTTAAATTCATATTTTAGCACAGTTCTTTTAATTTACTTTTTTGAAATATTAAATTTATTTGCATTAATATTATAGTGTAATTTTATTTGAATTTTACTTTAAAATTAAAATTCTTTTAATATTATAGAGTAAAAAAAATACATAACTTGGATTGAGTAACTACATTCAATCTTTAATCAACATTGGAGATTAGAATCTTATAATAAAAAAAAATACGATGAGGAAAGAAATATATTATTAAAAATATCCATAAAATCTTAGATCCAATCAATAATTAAATCGAAAATACCTTGTATTTAATAATATCATTTTGTATATTATGCTTTAATTGAACACTGATTTTATTTACTGATGTTTAGATGTGTTTTGCTTATATATATATATATATATATATATATGAGATTATATTTAGGTATGTTAATCTAATCAAGATTCCAAATTTTCATAATGGTGTAACATTATAATGTTAAAAAAATATTAATACTAAATTGATCACAAACTAATTTATTTCAAATAAAAGAAATAGAGATACTAGTACTGTGTCTTTTGAAAATAACACCAATAATTATAATGTGAAATTTAAATAGAAAAATGTTACTAAACAAACATAGTTGAAATTGAAAACAAGTGCCTAAATGATCTACCACGTGTTTACTGCATTATTTTGTTTATATGCATTAAATCTCTTCGAAAGGCATCTAAATGAGTAACGGCTGAGCCACCATTTGTAATTGCACGAAGACATATCCGCTGAAGAGTTTTGGATCTTTCCCTGATTCCCCTTCCAAGCTGTGTGCAAATCCATAAACTTTTGCAGTAGCGATACAATTTCACCCTTTTCCACCAAACTATTTACATTGACGTCTTCCTTCATCCTCCAACCAACTTTCCAATCCTCAATTATCATCTTACTGTCCAATGGTTGGTCCATAATTATTGGAAAGGTCAAAAACGGAACCCCAGCAAGCACACCTTCTTTTGTGGAATTCCAGCCACAATGAGACCAAAACCCTCCAATACAAGGATGACACAACACTCTCAATTGGTCACAGCATGTCCCACATATCTTTTTCAACCTTGAAGACTCACCACGAGTTATCCATGTTAGAAGTGTCACGTCGATTAAAGATAAGACCAATTCATAGTATACAAGTGAATGCAAATTTTACTTTATAAATCGGTTTTGTGGAGTTGAATTAAGTTTAAAGTTCACTTAATATAATATCATAGTCGATGTATTCAGATTTAAAGTCCACTTCTTAATAATCCACAACAACATAATGCCACTTTCCCGCAAAGCAAATGCAATCTCATCAATTTGAGCCATTGAAACCGAGAAATGGCTCCCTTGTGAGATGTAAAGAACAAAACCAACAGGTTGTGCATCTAGCCACTCCATGTAGCCATGGCTAGTCCCGTTGTTAGTGCTCAAAGTGGGAGTGTTTTGAAGGCTAAAATAAGGTATGGCAGGACCAATAGTGTATACGAGAAAGGGCAGCTATTCTTTTAGGACATCGATGGCTTCAGGTTCGGGCTCGTAAATGGAAGCGCATAAAAGATATTGTGCTCTGGAAACCCATTTGAAACCTTTTAGGCACAACTGCATCATTTGTGTACTTCTACAACTTTCATCGTTTAGCGGAAAATCTGCTAGGCGCATTGTGGAAATCCCAGGAATATAATCCACACGCTTCCCACCATTTTCTGGTATGCATCAGTTAAACAAAAGAAATCCGTAAATTCAATGTTTCCACATATCAGATATGGAATTTCGTGAATTTCAAATAATCTTTTGAAGCAGAAACCAGGACGAGTAGGGATAGTCTTAGAAGTTCGTATTTTTTCTGTAAATTATATCAACTGATGTATAATTATACATTATAATGACTATTTATGCTAAATACAATAAACTTTAAAAAAGAATGAGAATATGATTAAATAATCCTGAACATTATGTACTTTGAAAATACACATTACATTAATAAGATAAATATTAATGTAAAGTCATAAGCATTAATAAGATATAACTTGTAGTCTTTATAATATAATATAACATCAAATTTCTAGGTTTTTTTTTCTTGTTTTGATCTTTCGTTTATTTCACTTTCGTCTCTAACGGTATTGATTCAATGTCCGTAAATTTATAAATTACTGGCACATTATTTCAGATTAACATGTTTTCTTAAAAAGTTTCGAATCTTGATTATCGTCTCTCACTTTAAAAGTTAATGACTTCCTCCTCGTATTTTTTTTAAAGCACATTGGATCCTACCTAAAATAAGCACGTTTCTCTTTGTAAAAGGAAAGCATTCAAAAAGTAGGTTTAATGTTTCGGTAGGTCTCTATTTTTATCAAGAATCTCAAATAGGTGTTCTACTTGTTTGGTGTATTAATTGAGTCTTTATTTTGTAAAAATTGTAACAATTAGACCATTGTCGTTAAATTGGACACCCAACGGCATTAGTCTTTTGTTGACATGGCATAGTGGACTATGTTTTAATTGAGGTGGACTGTATTACTTGATGTATGTGATTATGATGTGGATATTTTATTTTTTTTAAAAAAAAGAAATTGGAAAGAATGAATGAAATATTGAGAATGAATTAGGGATTTAAATTATTCGAATTAGGGATTGGGAAAACTTCGTTATAAAATTGTAGGGGTATATGGAAATTGGAAATCAATTACACAGATTGGAGATTCAATTTGAAAAATTAGGGTTCATTCACAGCTAACATTGATACAATCGCGAAGTATGCATCACGATTTATGCAGGCTGAGTTGACATCCTTGTTGGTTAAAAAGGTGTTTCTGGTGACTTGGAGATTATTCTCAATGGTGCTTCTACCTTCCGCTCGGCTTCTTGTGATGTTGGTTCAAACAAGATCAGTTTTTTCTTTTCTTCTTCAGAGGTGCCGCTGCCATCCCCAGTCACCGTGACCCATGGCCGCACCCACCAACGTCTCCATTGACACCACCACCATCAACCACCACTAAGAACACCCAAATCTCAATTTGAAAACCTACCCCCAAATGCAAGATCAAATTACAAGAACAAAGAAACCCAAATTAAAACCCTAGCCCAAATCACGAAATCAAAAATCTACAAAGAAGATTCAAGAAACCTAAATCAAAACCCTTGTCGCAACGTCGCCAGAAAATCAATCTCATCGCTACAACACTCACTACGAAATGAGAAGGGAAGACGCGTCAGCGTCACGTCATCGTAGCGCCAGCGCAACGCCGTTGCCGTCAGAGCTCGCCTCCCTCCCGCGAAACCCAGCCCTAAAGAAGAAGGAAGGAGAAATTTCTTCCTGCGTCGCAAGCTGAACCAGAAGGAATAGGAACAAGAAAGCCTCCCTTAAGTCAGAAACTTGCAGTAGACCAACCAAAAGAGAAATGACCCTTCAAAGGTGGGTCCATTTACGAAAAAGAAACTCAAAGAAGGAAAGAATAAATTATCTACATATGGTACTATAAAAGTGATTAAAAACATACATCACCATGCCACATCAACCTTCCATTAACACTGTTAGGCCCAATTTAACGACAAGGATCTAATTGTTACAGTTTTTAAAAAATAAGGACTCAATTGAGACATCGAAGAAGTAGGAAACTTATTTAAGATTCTGGAAGAAAATAAGGACTGAAAAATTAAAATTTAAATATACATACGGATAAAAAGAGTAGAGTAAAATATATTGTGACAAAAGTAACATTTTTTAAAAAAATAAAAACGAAAACCACATATTTAAAAGCACAATTTCAAACTAATACAAAATTTATAATAATCAAACTTAATGAGTTGAAGATAAATAATTTGTGATGTTGATTACCTGACAAATTGACAGGGTAATGTCCATTCTGATCTAGAAGGTGACGGTGGTAGAGCACAAAGAACATAGACACGGACATGGTCCAAAACGACGCCACCGGAATATTCCTTCGGATTCTAACCATCACCGCCCAATACAAAAGGGTGTCAGCTACAATGGTCGTTGGCGGCGGCTGAAGGCAGCGGAGCAACTCCTCAAAGGGGGCTTCCATTTTGGTCATGACAGGTTCCAAGAAGCCGAGGTGGTCATTTGCGCGAGTGAGTTCGGATACCACATTGGGGATTGAATGGAGTTTGATGCTGTCGGGTTTTGGGTCGGAGGCGATGCGGGCGAGCCATTCCTCGGCGACCACGAAGGTTATGACGATTCCAGTGTTGTTGGAGAGAAGCAACTTGCAGAAGTTCATAAGGGGGTTGATGTGGCCCCTTGTAGGTAGGGCATGGCCACGAGGTGATAGGGACAAGTTGATGGAGCTGAAGGAGCTTCCATGATGGACTTAGGGGTTGCAGAAACAGTTAAGTCTTGGAAGATGAAAGTTCAAAGCTACAAGAACAAGAACACGTGCTTTCATATGTTTGTGTTTGGAAAAGGACTCGATACTTTAACAATGTTTTTTAACACTATTTTGACAATGCCACGCATCACATTTGGATTGGAGGAATTTGAAATTTTTAATTTTTTGAAAACGTGGAGTTCGAACTACGTAGGGTTTGTTTTAAGTGAGCTTCCAAAAATACCCCTGGTCTGTTTCATTGGAAATCAACGATTAGTGTCCCTAGGTCTTCATTTTGCGTTCTCGTTGTTGGTTCTCTGTGTCTCTCTCCATTTTTGTCAAGTTGGTGTTTTTCGTGGAGGTTGTAGTGCGAAATGGCAACGTCCGGTGAGCATGGTCCGACGACGAAGGTAAATGCTTTCTCCTTCCATTTCCTTCGATGCGTTTTGGGTTTGGGTTTGAGATTGTGTTGTTTTGGTTATTGGGTTTAGTTGTTTTGGTTATTTTGTTTTGGTTGATGCAG